CCCCAAAACCCCAAAACCCCAAAACCCCATAAAGAAAATCGAAATTTCGAAATCTTTAAAATTATGTGATGATAAATCTGACAAAAAATAATTTAATTTTAATATGATAGAAGTGCAATTGTCATCTTCAGAAAATTAAGACCAGTCAGACAAATATTGTGAGATCTGTTACATTGCTCCAAAGGAGTAAAGAGTCTTTCAATGCAAATCTGAAGTTTGCAAGATAGATATTTGTAACTATTGTTTCTTGAGCTATGTTCAAAATGAAATAACTCAGTAAATACTAGTGAAAGAGATTACCTTAAGATGTCCAGCAAGTGTATGCCAAGCAAAATACTAAATTGATGACATAAATGACATGATTTTTGGAAATCTAGAAAAACTTATAGGTGAGAATGTAGTTGAAAATCTTGAATTACATAAGACACTTGTGGAACAAATCTAAACTTCACTTCTCAAAAATCTGATAAGGAAATAAGATGATTATATCTAATGCCCTAACAAAAGATGTGAATATGCTGGCTTTATAAAAAAGTAACCGTGCGCATAATAATTATACTGTGGTATCTGCTCTTATTAATGGAAAGATGCCTCCCAGCTTACTATTTGAGACAAATTTTATATGAAATGGGTTAGCCTTAAAAGATTCAACTTTGGTTTATTAAACAGCATCCACCTCTTCCTCTTTGAAAAAGCATGTCCTAAGTGTGGAGTTTATATATAAAAGAATGGAGGATGTAGTTATATGCAGTGTCAAGGTTGTAAGCATGAGTTTTGCTGGCTGTGCAAGTCAAACTTTGCAGGACATCATCACTAAAATGATGAGATTTTCAATTTATGTTTACTTAAGTTCTGGATTGGAAGAGTTATCATCTTCTTTTTGATGATTTTCTTAGACTTCAAAATTGGATCATATAATAAAAGATTCTTAGAGATCCAAGGGGTAATCCTTAACGCTGTCTTAATGATCCTCTTTTTCAATCTTCAGATCTTATCAATGTATTTTTAAGAAGGGAAAATGATAAAATAATACATTTCTAAACTCAATAGATAATTACCCATGTAGTTTTGGTTTCCTAGACAATAAAACATAAGATGCAAATAAACATTCAAGAATATAGCTGGTTTTCTCAAAATTCTGCTGGTCTTTGCTATAAGACTGATCCTAAACTATTTGCTTTTTACAGAAGATGACATAAAATATATGCTGATCTTGATTTTAATTGAGATTGGAATTCTTCTTATTGTTATTTCTGTCATCTTAATTAAGAAGTGCATTGTAAGATACTAAAAGCAAAGAAAAATAGTTAGAGTATTAAAAATGAGAAGGAATAATGAAACTGAATTACAAAGAAAAATTAGACTACAGCAGGAAGAAGTTGACAAAAAAATAGCCAATAACATAGCCTATAAAGCAAATAACAATAACATAGATCTAATAGCTGAATAATTAGATTAGGCTCGATTACTGTATATTAAAAATTCGGATACTGGACGCAATACAGATATTGAAATGATTGATAGAGACCAAGATAAAGACAGAAGCATTGTTCCTTAAGAATCAAATGATTTATCTTATGAAGCTAATCTGAAAAAAGTTGAGCTTGAGCAAAGATAACAAGTAGAAATAGACTGGGAAGTACCTGAAAAATTAAACTAGGAACAAAATCACTTTATAATTGAGATATAGTCAGAGTAACAAAATTATTACAATCAATCATCCTTGATAGAAGAAGAAAAGGGTAATTTACCAGATATTTACTCCACCAAAGCATCTTAATAAAATGAGTAGCAATAATATTTGCTTGACAATGGATAGAATATTTTTGATTAGGATACTGTAATAGATAAAATTGCAATTAGAAATAACAAAACGAATAAAAATTATAACTAACTAATTGATGAATTAGTGATAGACCAAGATATTGAATCAAATTAAACATATAAATGAGGAGGCTGAATTTAGAACTTTATTATTATGGGAAAAGGTTTTCATAGGAAATTCTAAAGGAAAGGTAATTATGCTTATATTAATTGAATTATTTAAGTATTCTAATATTTTAAAAACGATTCTATTATATATGAAATTTCTTACTCAAGGGGTTTTGGGGTTTTGGGGTTTTGGGG